GAGCAGGCCATTTAGAGAGAGGAAGTCGGGATGTGGGGCAAAATGTGTCATTTGGGACCCACTGGAGATCTCCACTGTCCCCCACCCCACCCCACCCCCACTCTTCAACACGCAGTCTGACTTGGGGGGGGCTGGACGACTCGGAGTGCGCAAAGGGCTGGGCTCAGGCATGCAGGAAGGAATAGCTCCCAGCATCTCGCTGGGAGTAGGCCCTTCACATTACCGGGTGTGGCCCCCCAACACCCGCCTGCTCCCCGGTATCAATAAAGAAGAAAATAAGAGCCAGGGTGAAGACAGGCTGTTGGATCTGAGGCTCGCAGAGAACACGGGAGTCCTTCGAGAACCTGCTGTTCACCTAAGCACCGGAAGAGGGAGCCACTGGTCTGCAAAATGAGTGGCTGCCCAGATACGCACTCGAGGCGCAAGGCCCACGGACGCCCCCTGGAGCCAGGCTCGGCGCCTTCCCTGCAGATTTGGCCCCGAGCTTTCCACTCCGCATGGCTCTTCAGGCCTCTGGTCTCCTTCATCTCCCCACACTCCACATTTGCAGCTCCCCCACGAAGCCCCTCTTGGGTCATGGGAGACACTGGCATCACGGGAGCCTGATCCACTTAAGAAAAACAAGGACCAAAAAAACCGGAAAAAAAAACAAGGAAAGAAAAAGCCGTTTTTGGGCTAAGATTATAGAACAAATCATTCATTTTACGGATCTGAATCTGGGCTTTCGTTCCGGGTGTGCCCCCCTCCCCACCTCTTGGTAAAGAAGAAAATAGGAAGCGCCAGGGTGAAGACAGGCTGTTGAGATCTATGGGCAATTGGAGAACAGGGGAGCCCTGCAAGTAGCTGTTGGCCACGCAAGCACCTGCCGAGGGGCTCCTGGAGGGGTTCATTTCCCTTGCAGGAAGCAGCAGCAGCCTCTCCCATGCTGAGCTCAGACTTGTTCATGATATGTGTGGGATACAGGCACTGGGCATATGGTGTGGGCACACACTAGCCCGTGGACACAGGTGAGGGTGGACATGCAGGTGCATGTGTGTGAAGTGTTGTTTGCAGACTCAACATGACTAATGCTTTTCAGTCTGAGTGACGGAAACTGTTGACAGTGAAGTCAACAGTTCTGGAGTCTGACAACGGTATCAGCGTGGAGCTTTAACACAAAAGGTGGGACAGAGCCGAGACCCCAGTCCCAGGTGGATGTGGATCAGGAGGTGCTTGCAAAGACTTCCATACCTGTGGACATCGAAGGTGAGTGCAGATGGCAGGACACTGGCACCCCACCAGGACGGAAACGTGGCACCAGCTCCCAGCCTGGGCAGAGGGGGTGGCTAACAGGAGAAAGAGCAAGAACTGTCTGCATGGGGGAACTCCTGACTGGGGCCACATGATTCCCCCAGCACACCAGGTGACCCTCAAGGGTCCCCAGGAGTGTCCCCAAACCAGAAATAAAAGGACACAGTTGGATGTGTTGAAACCAGTCAGCGGGGCTGCTTGGCCCTCTGTGCTGGTGACAGGGGGCCTGTGCCACTGCAGCAGTGAATCTGGGGGTTCCTCGAACTGACCTTTCTGCCAGACCCTGCAGAAAGTGTAGACTCTGCACCCAGCCCATGGTGGCAGCTCTAGCTCATTGCCAGCCCCGATGAGGGAGCAAATGGGGCCAGAAATCTGGGGCTTGGGGTTGTCCCCAAGGAGCTGGTGGCCTCACCCGGGAATGGAGATCCTTTCTTGGAGCATCACACACAGGCCCCTCTGGGTACTGTCACTAGCCACCTGCTGGCTCCTTCCTGGAGCAGGGGCATTGTGGCCCCCAGTGATCTGGCACCAGGACTCGAGACCCCTGGGACTGAGAAGGGGACTGGAGAGCTTCCCTGCCCTCTGTGGAGCTGAGACCTGCTCCTGGACCTCAGTAAGTTTAGGGAAAGTGAGGGGGCCCCATAAGAAGCACCCCCCTGCCCGTCCCATGACTGCCTCCCAGGGCTATTCCTGGGTGAGGCTTCTCCCGCCTCTGCAACAGGAATTCTAATTTTTTTTCTGTTTTTGGGCCACACCGGGCAGTATTCAGGGGTTACTTCTGGCTCTGCTCTCAGGTTGCTTGGCGGGCTTGGGAGACCACACGGGGTACAGGGGATTGAACCTGGGTAAGCGCCCTTCCTGCTGTACAAGCGCTCAGGCCCCAACAGGAATATTTCCTTACAGTGGCCCCACACCCACACCTGGTCATCCACCAACAATGTGGGGGTAGGGTGGGGGGGGTCAGGTCCCCGCCCGGTGTCGTCACAGTTCCGGTGACAAGAGTGTCCTGGCAGAAGGAAAGGAACATTCCAGAGATACCAGTTGTTCAAACAGTCACTATGTAAACAGGAAGAACACCGCTCAGGTACAGACTGGCAGTGTCCGTGTGGCCCTGGACAGCAAAGATACCCCAACCTACCACAGTGCAGAACTGTGCACACAGTAACCCCCGATTGTTCTGTGTTTGATACAGATTTCTCTGCCTGGCAGCAGGAGTGTGAAGACCCAGCCCCGGGCACAGTCAGTCCCATAGTCAGGCTCCTCACTGCCCATGTAGGATGCGCCCACACCTATGGGGAACTCTGGAGTTTGGCACCCTGTGGGCATGAGGCAGGGGCCCTATTGGCCTTTCCCCTCATGTGCCCCCCACCCCAGCCCTGGGACCCTACTGCCGACAGCTACCAGTCACCCCAATGACTGTTTCGATGGGGCCAAGGGGTACCTGAAGAGGGCTGCTATCACTGTGGCCACCTGACCTTGGACTGTGGGGTGTTGAGACACCCGGAACTGGGGGCTGCTGTCACCGTGGCCACCTGACCTTGGACTATGGATTGCTGGAGCTGCCGTCACCTGCCGAAATGGAGGGCTGGGCTTGGGAGGGGCTGGAGCTTGCCCGGGGTGGAGGCTGCAATGGGGGTGAGGCTGAGGAGCAGTCTGGGAGGGCTCCAGCCTGAGTTCTGGGAGGCCTGAAAACAGCGAGCAGGAAGGGGAAGGGCACAAGTCTACCCTTGTGGCACTCCCGCAAGGCAAAGTCCAGAGCACAGAGGAGCCCCACTCCCCCGAGACAGTATCATGGCCTAGAGAGGCGCAGTGCAGACACCTTCCCTCAGTGCCCCTCACCACCCCGTGTCCAGGATGAGGCGGGGCTTACCTAAAGGGCCACTGCCAGGGAGCGGGGAATGATTGCGGGGTCCTCTGCGTGCTAGGTGTGTGCTCCTGCGTCTGAGCTCCAGGCACAGCAGAATGGGCTCTGAACACTGGTCCTGCTCTTTGCAGTCTGAGAGCTGGCTCAAAGCCTCAGCACAGGCACTGCCCGTGGGAGCCCAGGTCAACTCCCTGGCACCACCAGCTCTAAGTGTTTAAGTGGCCCACTGGCCAAGTCTTGCAAGGTGGGGTGCACCCCCCACCTCTACCCCAAGCCTAAGTAATTACCTGAACTTCATATTCACAAACCAGGACCTGCCTTGAGACTAGGGGAACCCTCAGTGTTGGGATTTGTACTGGGTTGGTCACATGCAAGGAAAGTTCCCACATTCCCCCTGCCCCTTCCATCTTAGGCATGGCAGGGACCCATGGAAGCATCTGATGTGAATCACATGACAGTTTGCACCCATGGCCTATCAAGAGTTTGGCCAGCCATACCGATTTGAGTAGCACTGTGCAGCACTGCCGTAGTCTCCTTCCCAGACTTTCGCAAAAATGTGCAGTGTGGCCACTAGGTGAAGCTTAAAATCATGCCAGTACTTCCAAAAAACAGGGTAACAATGATGTGGTGGAATATGGTACCACTTCTGCCACCTGCAGGGAGGTGACTGGCAAAGGAATGGGAAGATGTGCCACTCCGCAACCTGGACTGGAGCCCCTGGATGCTGTGAGACTTGAGGGCAACCTGGCACACAGCCTGGCATCTGGCATACACTACTGCTACACTTGGTGCATGAGCCACTTCCACGAAACCTTTTTGGAACCTAGAAACCATCCCAGAAGAGTCCTTTCTGTGGGGGCTGACAGGACAGCAGCAATCTGGGGTACGTTTCTGTGAGGGCAAGCGTTGAGCAGTGCTGGAGCTGTTTTGCTGACAAGTCTTGGCACTGGGCTGAGAGAAAGCAGCTAGACACAGGTCCTGGGTGGCTGTGTTCACCTCTGGGCCCCAAAAGGAGCAGCTCGACAGGCAGTTTGCTGAGCTGGCGAATAAGCAGAAGGTGGATTCTGGGCGCATGATGCAACTGCTCTCACATTCTAAGTCGGCACCCAAATCTGGACCATTACCATGGGTCCTTAAAGTTCAGACACATGAGAGCACAGACTGCGAACCAGCAGGTCAGGAAACAGGCCCATCCTGAAGAAGTCAGTAAACCTGATTTTTTCCTCTATGTGGAGGGACAGGAGCACCCCTCATGCTCCCACAGAACCAACCGGCAACATCTAGATAAGAAATTCCCAGCCATGATGCGGCAGTGGGGAGGACCTTCGCTGGGGCTCAGGCGCAGCCCGTGGTGGCAGTGTTGCAGAGCTGCGGGCACACAGGATGGTGAGCAAACAGACCAAACCAGTGCATTATTTTAAAAAGTTTTATTCCGCAGATTTAGAAATTTGAGGTTTTTTCTTTTTAATAACTGCAAAAGAAATTCAGTCACACCTAATGATTAACAGAATGTAGTGCTGTATTATCTCAACAGAAACCGTGCAGATGCGCCATAATAAACTGTCTATTAGTAAAAAAATACACTTTAGGGCGCAGCATTGTATCACAAATTACAGTAGGGAGACTTTGCAAGAGTTTCATCAAACTAGAGAATTCTGAGTAACTGTATCTTTTAAACGCAGCGCTTAAAAATGTAACAACTCTGTGCACTCTTTTTCTTTAAAAAAATGACCTTGTGTGTGGCATAGAAATGCTGCTTTATTGCTGCAGAGGTCGAAGTTCAAGGCTCAAGAGGTACAGGAGAGATACAAAGGTAGCCTTAGAAACTTGGTTTTGTTTCTGTATAAAAAAGGTCAAGTTTATAAAAGTTAATTTACAAACCAAGAACTAGAGTGATATGCACGCCTATGTACAAGCATCCTGAAAACAGCAAAACTTCCCAAGGCAGAGCCAAGAACAGCGCAACCACACCCTCACCCAACCCAAAACTGAAAGGAAAAAGTCCCCAAATCATACCATGATTTTCTTGTGGGTGATTAGACATGTCTAAAACCACCAAACCCACAATTCACTCAGTCTTATCCATGATACAGTATGTGGATGGGCACAGAAGCCATCCCGACTTGGCATCCGCTGGGAGAACGTCAAGAATCAAAGGAGGGTAAGGCATTCCTGCTGGTTAGTAGGGCTGTGGTGAGGGTTAATTGTTCAGATCCAAACCGTTCGGAGGCCGTGGAGCTAATCTCATGTTCTTTGGTGTCCTTCCAAAGAGAAACGTGCTTCTGTATACAGTAATTATCTTCTTGGGTCCTGGGGCCTGCCTCCTCTCCTGCCACTTCCCCCCAAAAAGCTCTAAATCCCCCTCATGTACATGTTGTTAATCCCCTACACTGGCAATATCTATATAGATGGGTCGATAGATCAATCCACCTAGATAGATACATTTCCTGGTGTATTTTAAAAATGTGTGCATATTACCTCATGCATAATCAAATAAACCGTGAGAGCCAGGCCGGGGCCATAAGGAAGTTTGAAACTGCTGACTTTGGAAAGAATAGAACTCAATGTCCCCCACTGGTTGGCTGGGATCATAACGGAAATCAAGAAATGAAGTGAGTGAAGCAGTGCCCGTAAAAAAGTACAAAATCATTACAAAGCCCAACGCCGCGGAGGCTGCGGCCCAGACTGAGGTCCCTGGGCCCAGGCGCGTGCAGGCAGGTGCTGGGCAGGGTCACTCCCAACCCGCCTCAGGTCCAACACAATGCTTGGTGGAGACCAGGTGCAGCATCAGTCCCGAGACAAGTCCATACTTGATAGATGGTTCCAGTGAGATTCAGTAAAAGTCTAACCCAGGTTCACATTATTTAATCAAGTTCCTATATTTAAGAATTAAAAGTGGTCAATCAGGACAGAAACACAATTTGCTCCAACAAGATAGTTCGGATCTCCGGGAAGACACTTGTTTTGCCAGGTTTTCGGGTCACCTAAGAGAAGGGGAGAAGGAGTTCTGTCATCTCGGTATGGTGCACCTGCGCAGGAACACAGTGCTCTGGGAGAGCAGCCTTGCCCGCCACAGACTGCTCCCTGGCTCCCTGTGTTCTTGGGCCCCTTCAGCCTGCTCCTGGGACCACCTTCCCCTTCTACTGTGAGCTGCAGGCACTTTACAACGGACAAAGCCTGGGCACGTGGTCTCTGCTGCTGAGAGCACATGCCTTCGAGGCTGGGCATAGGACCTGGCAAACCCCAACTTCATGTGTGCACACGTGCAGAGTGGCCCTGGGTACCCTGGCTGGGAAAGCCCCAGGCTCTCTGGGCAGGAGCTGAGGGCACGTCCCTGCAGTGCGAGGAAACACCAGGAGGCCAACTGCTCTCACCCAGAAGAAAGGTACTTGGTACCAGCTACCGTGGGGCTGCAGGGATGCACAGGACAGACTCCCCTGCCTGCCAGACCACGTCCCCATCAGCCGAGCAGTGTCAGATCTGGTGGGCTCCCTGATGGGGAGGAGTCAGGGCAGCTGGCTGGGACTCGGACCTTTCTCTCTGCCTGTGGGAGGGAGTCAGCACTGACCAAGATGTGTGCTGGGCATGCTGGACAGACACCCAGACTGTTGGACAGGTGCACAGGAGGGCAGTGCTCCAGTTTGTTCCATGTCATAATAGGGCACCACCTGAGAGACCACCCTACTCCATGTGCCAACACAAAAGGTTAAGTAAATGATTATTAGGGTCTCTCTGAGGACAGAGCTCTCATCCCCTCCGCGCTCATCTATGTATCTGGGAACAGTGGCTGGGAACATACACCCACACAGAGTTGACACAGGCAGAGCTGGCCTGTGCATTGTCCTGCCCACCTGCTGCCAGAGGGTTTCTGGGTCAGGGTCAAGGATGCCGCCAACACAGGTGGCTCTAGTGGCCCATGACTCAGAGACCCGGGAAGTGAGAGGAGTGAAAATGGCACCAAGCTGTGGCATGACAAGGGCCAGAGCGAAGTGACCTGCAATGCCCGTGGCGGCAGTGATGAGCTCTGGGCTGTGAACTCGCGGCCAGGTGGGCCCAGAGGTGGGGTAGGGAGGGCAGAACGGCCTGGCCCTGTTAGCTAGTGGCGGCGCCTCTGCCCACAGGGCAGAGGGCCTGTTCACTATAGTCACACATTTCTGATAGGACATAAATTTACCAAAGAAATCGTGTGCCACCTGTGGTGGCAGCGCTGCCATTCCCAAGTGGAAACTCCTCGGCCTTGCCATATTCACACTCATTTTCCACAGCACTGTGACAGGCCCCGGGGGGGGCAGAGAGCCGCGACTGATAGTGGGGCAGCTCCAGGAGGGAGCCCAGGGGTCACCACCGCCAGTCCCCAAAGCCCCCAAAGGCCAGAGAGAAGACAGCATACCCGACGAGGAGTCGGATGATTTTAGAGCAAAAGACCAACCGTCAGGAGTCATGGACGCACAGTGCGGCAGGCGCAGCTCCACGGGCTTCAGGAACTTGAGGCCGTGAGGCCCACACATCACCAGGGGGCTCAGAAGGGTCTCACCTGCGGGAGGGAGCGAGGGGGTGAGGTCAGAGGGCGGCCGCCGCCCCATGTCTGGTGGGGCTACTCCTCTGAGGCAACACTGACCAAGAACTGGGCAGAATCCACTCCTGCCATTTGAAATGCCAGAGAGGAGCCACATTCAAGAAGAAAAAGCACCCAGTCAAGTGCTGGTACTTTATAGAGCTGACTTCTGACAGCAGGATGGCAAGACATGTTGCATCTTTGAAATGGGCTCTCTATACTCTGGCACCTCCATTCCCCTGCTTCATGCAAAGTGCTCAGCGTCCACACATAAGATACATCTGAGGGTACGGCTCAGAACTGCTAATTCCACCCTGCATCTCCCATGCTGTACTGGTAAGAGCTGGTCTGTGGGACTCATGAGGGGATCTCATGAACCACATTCAGATTCCAACAGAACTTAAAGGAGTGGACTGAAATGCTACTACAGCAAGTCCCGGTCACCGAACACACGCGCCAGAACAAGGAGGAAGTGGTAGTTTTCCCGGGTGAACCCAGAGGCCCACACAAGGCCAAGAAGGAAGGAGGGACCATGGCCTGTGGGGCCTGAGATGGAAAGATGGAAGGGTAAGGGCTCTAATGCAGACTGGGTCAGTCCCACCTTTCTCCTTGTCCAGCGGCGGGAGGAGACTGTTGTCCCGGCAGACCTTGAAGTAGATCTCCTGCTCCACGCCCTCGGGCACGGCTCCCTGTGGGATGATGATGCTCACGCCCGTCTCGATGGAGCTCAGCACCCCGCCGTTGCTGTTGAAGACACCCCGGGCCGTGGCCACCACTGTGTGCCCATCCTCATCTTCGTCTTCCTCCACAGCAGAAGGACTAGGGTTGAGGAACAGCCAGTGAGGCCTGCTGGACTGTGCTACCGCTTTCCCGCAGAGCTGCTTCAGGCCAACAGGAGGCGCTTAGCTGGACCCAGGTGGCCCTTTGGCAACACCCGCTGGACAGTGCTAGCTGGACGGTGCTGTGGGCTCTCCCCCTGGCCACAGCAGACTGGCTGAAGCATTGGGTCCCTCTGTGCGTCCCCACACCCCGCCCCTGCCCAGGACTTGTACTGCCTACTGTACCTCTCTGGGAACTTGCGAGGCCTGCCTGGTGCTCTGATAGCAAAGATCACCATGGCCAAAATGGTCTTCCCCACAGAGATCAGAAGCCACGGGTGGCAGAGCTGCCTGACAGCCCTGCACAGGCACAGCACACTGACACCACACGATTGCCACTCCTGTGACCAACTAGGGCTACCACTCTGCATAGGCTCTGGACACAGCAGCATACGAAGCACACTGCTTGTGTAGTCTGTCAGGAACTGCTCCTAAACCCCATCAGAGACCTGGCACAGTCCCGGGAACAGTCGCCCATCTCACCTCACAGGAACCGCTTTGGGCACAGCGCTAACGTTGTTGAACTGGTATTTGGGCTTCTCAGCATGAAGGGAGAAGGTCTCCACGCCGCTGTCAAACTCAGGCTGCTGTGCAGAGCTAGGGGCTTTGCCCAGAGCCTGGGCCGAGGTGGGTGCCTTGGAGGACAGGTCAGGTTTGTGGGCAGTGTCAGCGGGCAAGAGGTTATGGTTGAATTTCGGGCTTTCAAATTTGCGCTCAAAGGGCCGCGCGGAGCTGGTGTAGGGCTTGGCGGTGAAGCGGTTGTACGCAGGCGTCTTCTGTGCAGGTTCTGCCCCATTCACGGGCGCCTTGTCCGAGAAGCTCTTCTGGGAATAGAAGGGGGGTGGAGCGGCATCATCTCGGGTTGGGGCTCGGAAGATGGCTGGCTTGTTCTGCAGTGGAGGCGGGTCTGGCTTGGACACTAAGGAATTCTGAAAATCCATCGAGACCGAACTACCTGCAAAGCAAACATGAGCATTGGCATCCCTGGTGGGAGGGAAGGTGGCCAGCTGTGGCCCTCCCTTGTCCAGGGAGGGGATGTGCACACAAGCTCCCTGTGTGTGTGCTGTGTGTGGACCCTGAGGGAAGACTGCTCCCCATGTTGCTAGCCCGCCCATCTCCTACGGGTGTGTGCGTTGGGGAGGCGGGAGGTGGGGGTGTGCGACAAGGAGCTGTGTCCTCGCTCTCGTGAAACCAGCACAGCATCGACCCCCAACAGAGACCAGGATGCTACAAGAACAACACAACACTGAAAAGCATCACACTGAGACAAGCAGAACTGGCATAGGACAACACTCTCCACAGACCCCAATGGACTGTGAAGAGAAGGGACACAGAGTCACAATCCTGGGTATGGGGACAAACCCTGCAAAGCTGCAGTGAACTGACGCTGGGAAGTGCCAGACTCCCTCCAGGGGGAAGGAGCAGGGCATAGGGAAGAGACCACAGGCTCCGTGCACTGCAGGCCATGAGCCCAGGAACCTGCTGGGCACATCTGTGGGAAGAAAGAGCTGGCCTGGAGGAGGCAGGACAAAGAGGCACAGGAGAGTGCAGTGCCAGGGAAACTGCCTTGTTTTGGAAAAGGCAGGTAAGAAATGAGGTGCTGGTTGCATGGGGGTGGGGGTGGTAGCTGGGGGGTGGGAGAGTTGGAACCAGTGCTGGTCTAGGCTGGCAGGGCAGGTGCCAGGAGGGGCCCTGCCACCCAGGGGAGTTTGGAACCCTCATAGGCACTCAAGAGAGGCAAGAAAAAGAACGCTTCTCACCAAGGGGGGTTCCAGAGAAGTCGGGGAGTACGGCCTGCCTGCCTGAAGAGCTGGGGGGACTCACTCTAGAGGAACTGGCCTGGCATGCAGGGCAGGGCTTTTCCTGGTCGCTTGCCTGCCATGAGGGCCCAGACAATCACTCAGACCCGCAGACACAGGCATTCTGATAAAGAACAGCCCTACTAGAAATGGAGTGATGGAACAGAGACTTCTCAGCCCTAGTGGGCACAGGGACAGGTGCTCGATGGTGACCCCTGGGGCCCCTCACTGTCCCTACTCCCTACCTCCTCAGATAAAAGCTCATTTGCCTCAGAATTGACTAAAAGGCATCATGCAAGTGTCCCTCTAGTTTGGCATCTGCTGGACAGCCAGACCAGACTCTAGGTCAGACTCAGAAGCACGTACCTTCACTGTGGGCACCCTTGGCATGCGTGTGGAAGGTGAGGGCAGAGCTGGGCACGGGTGCAGCAGGCTGCGTGTACTGCGAGGGCAAGGGAGGTGGTGGGGGTGTGGGCTGGAGGGGCTGAGGGGGCTCGGGACGTTTCTCGCCGAATGACCGTTCCACAGCTTCTGCCTCGGGAGACTTGCCCCTGTGGAGAAATGAGACAAGGCCACAATCTGAGAAATGCGGGCACAGCGGGAACATGTTCTCAGTGTCACTGATAACCAACAAAACCAGAGAAAGTAGAAACTTCATGATTCACTCTCAGGAGCACAGAAAGTTACTCTACCCGAATGGCCACACCAACCCGATCATAGTTAACACCAGAGATGGAAAGACAGCACAGAGAGTTCTAGAATATGAGTCCCACACCCGGGAGATGGGGGCTGAAAGGCAGATGAGGTTTTGGGTATACTTGTAATACTTTGGAAAATATTAATTGGTCCAATCTCCTCTAGGTTCACATCAAATTCTGTAACTGAGGTTCACAAGCCTTGGTCCCGGGCTAATTCAGACTCACACCAAATGATGCCATAGACCAAGACTTGGCCACTTGTTTAGAAAAGGCCTGAGTGCATGTCCGGCGTCAGGCCCAGCCCCATGGCACACAGGCCGTGATGGAGGCACAGTGGCACCCACGAACAGCACCTTTTCTTTGAAGTGTGCCCTCCATTGACCAGATCTGGTGCTGGCTAAGATGCTGCTTGGCATTTATTTTTGAGGGCTCACTGAAGGCCATCAATTGTTTCAGATGGTGGGTAGCAACACTGGACTGCTGTATAATTGGCCCAACTCACAACAACTACCACAAAGCCTTGGCAGAGAGCTGAGCCGTGCCAGTTTTATATGCACAGCTGGGAGGGCAGCCGGAAAGCAGCTCTGCCCACTCTTGGGCTGGCACGAGAGCTCTGCGTCTATGCCTTGGGGCATGGAGCCTGGCCATGGAAGAGGATGTGTTAGTCTGCGAGTGCACACAAAGCCAAGGACACAATGGGGGACCCCTGTGGCCACAGCCTCACACGAATGCCCATCTTACCACGTGGTGCTCCTTTGCAGGCAGCCATAGCTAGTGTAAGAGCCAAGAAATCTATGGGGTAGCAAAGCAAGCGCAACAGAAAAATGAAAACAGTCAATCTGATGAAGCAAATTTGTAGCTAAGGGAAGTCAGATGTCATTAAAATAGTGCAACCACCACATACGTGCTTGACTAAAACCCCGGTAGCTCTCATGCAGCCTGGAGAATTCCCAGTGCCCACTGTGGAGGGCCCTGCTGCCCTCCAGCCACTCAGGGGCAGCAAGCCTGAGGTATCCCCTTCCCTCTGCCACTTGTGCTGAGCAAAGACAGGAGCCAAATTAAATAGCAGTGATGAAGGGGAATCGGTGGGGTGTTCTATGGAAAGCAGCAGGTGGGGAGCAACTGACAGCACACCCACCCACCCCTGGCCGTCCCCGAGGGATGGGTGTGGCCTGCCCCTGGAGCTCAGTCCTGGGGTGGGCAGAGCATGGTCACAGCAGTCTTGGCCAAGTCTGGCTAAGCCATACCCTCTGTAAGGTCATAAGCAAATGGAAACTAGCAAGTATCAATCTTAAACTTTCCAGTTTCCAGCTTTGTGGTTACAGATCTCTAGGCTTCAGGTCAATTCACTGAGGGGACAGAGTCTGCAGTAATGCTTTTTATGCTTCTGGTGGACAGACTATACCCGCCACCAAACTGCCACGAGATATCCCACCTTGGTGACATGCATCTCATGCCACTGCCCTCTGACCCCCCTTGGCTGCCAGTGTGTAGGTGTGCCCTCACTGCTCCTTCCCCTCAAGAGGGAGCTCCCCTGGCCCTTCCCCTTCTTCCCCACTCCACTCTGCTTTCCATGGTCCCTCAAGATCACTGAGTTTTAGCAACAGGTGCGATTCCACCCATAGTTGCATGTAGCCCACTGTGAACAGAGGGCACATACTGGTCACTGCCATTATGGCCCCAGATCTTGGGTGTTGTACGTAGCACTGTCTTCCCATTGTTCATCGATTTGCTCGAGCAGGCACCAGTTAACGTCTTTATTGCGAGACTTGTTGTTACTGTTTTTGGCATATCGAATATGCCACGGGGAGCTTGCCAGGCTCTGCTGTGCAGACGGATACTCTCAGTAGCTTGCCGGGCTCTCTGAGAAGGACGGAGGAATCGAACCCGGGTCGGCCGCGTGCAAGACAAATGCCCTACCCACTGTGCTATATAAACAAAGTCATGCAGATCTTTCCCAAGGAATGTCTGTCTTGTGGACAGATACCAAGCAATCAACTTTTGGGTCAGATGGAAAGTTCCATGTATTTTGTGAGGTGTATCCACGCTATCGTCTCTAAGAGACTGGCCCAGAGGACACTGCCCAGCAGCAAGCAGGGGCTCCTGGTTCCCCACAGTCTGCCAGCTTTGTTGTTTCTGATCTCTGGTGCAAGCCATTCCTGTCAGTGTGACATGGATCTCTCAGTCGTCTGGGCTTGTGTCTCCCTCACCGATCAGTAACACTGAGGATGCTGTGGGCCTGCTGCTAGTCCTATCTTCTCATAGCAGTGTGTGTTCTGTCTTAGCCCCCCTAATTCTGAGGGGGCTGTTTTCCATTGTGAAGAGCTGGAAGCACCTTCTGGGTCTGGGTACGGGCCTTGCCAGAAGAATGCTTTCTCCCATCTTGTGGAGGAACTTCTTTTAAGACTGAGTTTTGGGGCAGCACAACCAGTCCCAGTGGTTTACTTTTGCCTGTTTTGTCAGCGGAAATGAACTGCTGAAAATGGCTTAGTTCACACTAAGTTGCTGACAAGCTGGCAGTCCCCGAGGCTGACTCTAAGCCCTGAGTTTCTCTCTCCCTGTGAGCTGATCAAGAGGCAGCCCATCTGTTGGGGTCAACTTTCTCGCTGCCCTGGAGCTGCCTCATGGCCAGCCTGGACCCTTTCAAGAACCATGGAAATACCTGCCTCGCTCTGGAGGTGAGCCCCTGGGCTGATGTCCACTGCCCTGCTGCCCCACTGGACGGAACGATAGGACCAAGTGGCTTCCTGGACTGCACAGGGTTCAGCTCCCCACAGTGTCAAGGAGCTTTGTTCTGAGGCAGGTGTCAAGTGAGCTTCTGCTGGAGATGGACAGGGTATGGGGTTCTACAACCCAACCTCCCTGTCTCTCCATGACACCCTCACTCTCCCTTGTCCCTACCCCACAGCAGAGGGGGTTCAGAAGTGGGGTTGCACCTCTCCCAGCACTCCCAACAGAAGGGTCTGATGCCCATTTCCCTAGACCCCCCCCCCCCCCCCCGAGCCTGACATGGAGCTACCTGCCAGAACATCCATGGTTACTTCCCAAGAAACCCACTGCAAGCAGGGCTCGATGACCCCAGAAGCATCATCACACCACACACGGTGTGTGGACCTGTCATGACAAATGGCCAGCTTCCACTGAGCTCCATTCTGGCCTGACTCCAAAGGAAGATTCTCCAGCTGTGTCTGCTCCAAAGACATGGAGGCTTTTCCTGAGCATCAACATCTGACAGCTGGGCCCTTCCTGCTGGGTACAGATGAGTCTGCCAAAAGCCAGTGTCCACCTTTCTCCCAGTGGTATCACTTGGATGATGGGAGGCTCAGGGAGCCAGCAGAAGAGGAAGCCCTGGGGCACATGTGAGTTTGGACCCTCCAACAGAAAAGAGATGGCAGAGCTGCACAGAACAGGGCCTGGAGCCAGGGACTGGGGGCGGAATCCAATAAGTTCTGCTTTTCTCAGGTGTGGAGACCAGAGCGCTTGTGACAAGCTCTTTATTGCCTGAAAAAATAAACATGTCTTCCCTCTAACAGTACTGCTGCGTGCTCCCCTTAAACGACAAAGCACACCAAAGAGGGGGTAGTGGGAGACCCCAAACCTGACCCCTAGGGCTGAAGTGCCTGCTCTTGGCTCACAATCCTTAGCCCGAGACCTGCCACCTGAACAACCCTCTTCCCAACTGTTGCCACAGAAGCACAACATCTAACAGAGAGAAGGTCAGTGGGCAAGGAGGACGGGAAGTCAGCTGGCAGCTCTCTGATACCATGGGCTTCTCTCCAGATCCCCAACACCATTCCATTTCCCCTGGTGAACCCTACTTCAAATTTCAAAGCCTCCCATGCACTCTGACCAGCCTGGGTGCTGGGGCTTACTTGGTGGAGTGTGCAGAGAAGCTGGGTTGAGCCTGCGGGTGAGTGGGCTTGGCTGGCTCTGGTGCCTGGCCAGCAGGAACAAGGGCAGGTTTGCTGTCGAAACTCCGGCGGTCAAAGTAGGAGAGCTGCTTCCGGTAATACTCCTCATCCTCCTCAGGATCGTAGTGGTTTGACCGGACAATATCTTCAGGGGGCTTTGCCTGAGGCTTCTGCGGCTCTGGGATCCTGCTGGACCATGAATGAGAACAAGAAGCCAAGTCCGGAGATGGTATTGCAAAAGGAGCATGTGAATCTTTTACCCTGATCTCTCACTGCATGTGGCCTGGGGTCGCAGACAATCTAACCAAGTTGCCCCACAGAGAGATGCATATGCACATCACAAACTCTTCAAGTGGACAATCTGACGCAGCCCCTCATGGCTCGGGAGCACTTCTCACCTAATAGACTATCAACTCTGACCAAAGGCTTCCAGATCAGGGCAGACAATCCAGAAAAGGGAATGTGACCAAGACAAACAACAAGACAACCAGACAGAATTTCAGGACTTTAAAAGGGTTTCTAAGCACTTTCTCATCCAGGATCAACAGATCCTCACAAAGGAAAGAGTTCCAGACAGGCCCAAGCTCCAGAAGCACACGGGACAGAGGAAACCATTAAACAACAGATAGAGTTTTATCTACTTTATGGTGCACAGTGACATTTTAGAAACTTTCAAGAGCAGTGGCTGACTTTAGTTCCGAGCTTAAATTGTGCAGAAGCACCTTTTACTAAGGCAGATACCGGCATTTCCATTTTCATGGAAAGCAGCAGAGTCACTGAGAGGCAAGGTGGGAGAGCTGGTTCAGCAAGATGAAAAGCTGGCTCTGCAGTGTCAGAGGCCCAGCGTTCACCCCTGCACCATATGGCCCCTGAGCACTGACCCAAGAGTGCAGTTTGCATGTCCCTCCCCCTCAGGAAGGTGTCTGTGGAAGTAGCTCCACCTGGCTGGAGTCACAATGGTCAGCAAGCTGGCTCAGAACAAGGCGCAGTCCTGCTCATCCCAGAGGCCCAGTGCTCAGCATCACGGCCAGTGTTCCCCTGTGCCCATTCCCCCATGACCTCAGTGTGGCCAATCTGCGTCCACACCCTGAGAAACCCTGAGAAAGACTGTGTGCATAAACACACTCTCATCACCTCTAGTGGGGCGTGAATACCACTTGGGGATAACTATAGGCAAGTTTCCTGGCAGGGGTGGACTAGAACAGGCAGCACAAGGTGACTGAGGAGTTGCGACAGTGCCCATTGTGCTCCAGTGAACCCCAGTATCAGGTGGCACACCCACCTGTAGAGGGTCTTGTCATGATCACTCAGCTGGTTCTGCAAAGCGGCTTTCGGAGCTGTGATGGGAGCCACAGAGGGTCTGGATGCCATTTCTGCTGGCTGCAGGAAGGACAGACACATCCCCAAAGCAGTGCATGAATGAGTGACTGCACCCACAAAAGGGGACCCTCCCACTTCGTCTTCCGTCCGCGTGGCTTTACCTTCAGACCAGCAAGGTGGTTCTCATCCTTCCTGTGCTCCAACGAGGCAGACCTTTTGTTCTCGAACATCCTCACCCGTGTGAGCACCGACTGTGGCCTCATGGCCGGATCCTCTTCGTCGTCGGCTGCAGCAGGGGGCGGCGGCGGCAGGGGCTTGGTGTTGCTGGGCGGTGCGGCCGGAGCAGGCTCATAGTGGCTGGCTTTCGAGGGCAGCCCTTGGGCAGGGACCTGCTCATAACTCCGTGGGTACTGCTCCAAGGATGGCTTTGGCTCTGGGACCTTAGGGCCCACAGCCGCATAGGTCTGGGTTTCAGGCCGGTATCTGCTTGGCAGCTCATACCCAGCAGGCGGTGGCTCCTCATGGCGGAGGGTGGAGGTTCTGGGTGGCTGTTCAAAGCGTGCTCGGCTGTCAAAGGACAGGGGGGTCGGCTCCTCAAAGTGGGGAAAGTACCCCCGTTCTAAGGGTTCATCAGGATGAGGTCTGGGGTCAAGGTCCCGTGAGTGCTGAGTGTCAAAAGGTGGCCGAGGCTGGTGGGGCTGCCTGTCATCAAAATAGGGCCACTGCTCCTCATAGCGCAGACGATGCTCATAGCCACGCGGACACGGGTCTGCATAGCCAGAGGAGTCATATCTGGACACTGGCGGCTCCATCTCCCTGACGGCCTGCTTCTCTCCGTACGGGGTTTGGGGTTCATAGCTGAGGCCCAGCTCTCTGTCGGGCCTTTGGCCAGGGTGACCCATGGCTGGCTGCTTCATCACATGATTCTGTCTTAGCAGTTCCTCAGAATAGGGGTCTTTCCTGTATACCTGCACAGGACAGTCATGTGTGAGAATACCAGCGTGCTCCCCATTCCAGCCAACTGGCCAACAACACCAGGATCTGATTGTCTGAAAAGGGACAGCTCCCCCAATTGCTCCCCAGGTAGGAAGATCAGTGGGAGAAGCTAATTGACATGAAAGACCCAAGTTTCTATGGCAGATTTCAGCATGTGCTGAATGAAAAGTGAGTTGAAAATTAGGGTAGAAGAAAATCAATGGACTGAGTTACTGATTCCACTTGATCTGGCCACTGACAATAAAAATCATGAAGTAAATTTATGGACACCATCATTCACAAAATAATGATTTAATGGTGAGCCTCAACTAAATATCGAAGGGGGAGTGAGGTTTCCGAGAATACTGAAAACCAAAAAATCAAATGAAGCACAAGTCCCAATCAAAAGGCAGGCTGGTCTCGATCATTGCTGAGCCGCGGAAGCCATGCAAACTGCAAATGGAGACACTCGGTACTGAGTGGAAGCGCCGGATCGTAAAAGCCCACAGGAGAGAAGCAAAGGGAACACCAAAGGGCGAAGCAAAATGATCATCTGCTGGGAGGCCGGCGAGCAGCGCGCAGCACGGCCGTGCGGGTACCTGGGCCGGGTCTGCATGCGGCGACACTGGTGGCTCCGGGTCTCTGAGCGCTCCGGGAGCTGCCTCAGCACTGGGCCCTCGGAAAGAAGCAGCTTGTGGGGAGTGAGTGGCGGCAGGAGCCGGGGCCGGCTCCTCTGGGTGGACCCGAGGGAGAGGCGCGTTATGAGCAACGGCAGAGGAGACCGGTGTTGGGTTTGTTTCAGGCGAGAGGCGGGGGGCTGGAGATGAGGGCTCTGCTCTCTGTGAAGTGTTTGAGACATGTGAAATGGAGCGCTTCTGTCTACCTGACTTCCCACCTCCATTCAGTGCCGGGGACATTCTTAAGGGTGCTGACTAGCATGACCGTGACCTCATGGCCTGTTACCGAAAACAAGAACCCGCCCACAAATAAACAGCATCCTGGAGAGTGAGAGGAACCCTCACACTTCAGGATGGAGTCTGGGATGCTAGACTAAAACTCCGAGATACTCCATGCCTGCCAGCCCGCCCCCCGCTGCGCAGCGCTGGTGCGGCCGCTTACCTGTTGCGAGGCTGCTTTAAATCCGGGGCAGTCTAGTCTATGGCTGGGCTGCGGCAGCGCCTGCGGAGCGTAAGGAGGGTAGGGTTGGCTTTCAGGCTGCATTCCAGAGGGGTCCTCTCTGACAGGCTCCGAGGAGCGGGTGATGGCAGACTCCGGGGGAGTCCCCACCTCGTCATTAAGGGTCTCGTCTAGTTCTTGATCAGTGTAGGCCCCGCCTTCTGTGTCTGTGTCTTCATAGTCAGACGTGTGTCTACTGTCCGTGCTATACATTGAGTACTCGCTACCCGGGGCTGACAGGTAGGACAGCCGATCGTCATGCAAATCAAGGTCATCGCTTGTGGCACCGTCCGCCTGGGTCAAATAAAAGTAAATCAGAATTTTATTCAGTAGTTCTTGGAAGAGATGGCCTTTATTTCCCAAGGGAGACCGGAAAGGCTCATTTTCTTGGAAGGAATCGCCCCGTATTCTCTGAGCTTCCGGTGAGGAAAGATCCGGGAGGTTCTGAGCCCCCACGCAGACACCTGGAGCGCCTGACACGGCAGGGCTGGATGAAGGAGACGACACCAGCAGCAGCACAAGGCCAGAGTCCGGGGGCCCAACCCCACAGGACAAGGACAGTTGTTGACACCTCACCAGTCACTCACGTGTCAGCCTGGACAAGGCAAAGAGGAAGCCTGCCACCAACCCCAGTTGACAGTGACAAGACACACCAACAGAATGACGCGCACGAGACTGAATATGAGCGCCCAGTTCAGACAGGCTGAGCGTGGAGAGGACTGGGAATATACACGGAGGCAACAGCATTTAGAAAACTCCTGACTCAGGCCCTAATGCTTGTGTGAACAGTGGCTGAGCGCTGGCTGCCTCCTCAATGAAGACTGATTTCTCACAGATGCATGAGCCAAAGGATGGAACAGGAGAAATTCAGCTGGGCTGATCTGGTACCAGAAGAGCCGAGTGCCCCTGGGAAGTCTGCCCTGATTATCTTCTGGGCAGATGGCAAAGAAAACCAGAAGGGTCTGAGGGAAGGGGAGCAGAGTGAGTGACCCAGACACTCATTTGAAGAGCACTGGATTCAACTGAAGATCCTGATGAGATGTCAGCCAAAGGGATCTCAGGGCTGGAAGACCTGAACTGCAGAATTCAGTCACTGGAAGGATGGCCCACACTGCACACGTAGTCTCCACATGGCTCCCTGCCCTGAGCGCAGATGCAGAGATGCCCCGGGGACCTGCTCTTTATTTACCTACTGGGCCAGAGACAACAAGACCTGCAGGGTGGGGTCCAGGCCTCGAAGGGGCATGGCACACCGAAATCCGTGGGGCTTCTAAACTCCATAAAGGCTGCTGCAAAGACAGAGTTGGCTTTTCCTCTCTACAGTGATCCTGAGCTTGTGAGGGTCTGTCAGCGAACTAGCGACACCCTCAGGAAGAATGACTTGAATTCAAACACCGGTCTTACTTTAACAGTGGTACATGATGCAGATGAAAGAGCCACGGGCGGTTTGGCCCTGGGAAGTGACACATTTACATGGAAAGAAGGTCTCTGGGATGTCTCGTTTGGGTCAGCAGGAACATATAAAGACTGTATCAGATCTTGCAAAACAACTCTTCCGAGAAATTAGATGCAAGCAGTTGTTCAGGAAAGTAAACATGAAATGAAATTGCTTTAGTTTTTAGAGCCTGACTATTCTGATAGACTGTACTCGAGTAGAAGGAGGGAACAAATCCAGTTTGGTTTAAATGGCAACACCCTCTGACTTACAAAATGCAGCCATCAATCTAGCCTAAAAATCTGATTTTTCCTCCCAGAAAGTGTCGGGGACGTTAGGTCTTATTCCAAAATTGTAGCAAAGATGGGATAGCGTGAAGACAAAGGAGAGAACAAAGATCTGTAGAGCGAAAGCCCTCGGTAAAAGGCAGACACGTACATGGCATGTACTTACAGGGTCCCACTCGGCCCCGAGACTGTCTGACAGAGCTGTGGCAGGGCTGTGTGGCTGGGTCAGTGCCAAGAGAACTGTGTTTGTGTAAAATGCCTATGAGTGACACTCGGTGATAGTGTGCTGCCCAAGGTGCTGGGGTGCTTTTCTCCCTCGTGTGCTGGCTGACAGGGCAGCTTCTCAGGGCGCCTGTGCCCAGCTCCTGAGACCCATGGTTCTGGGCCTTCCTGGGGGGGGGGGGGGGTTGTAGGTGCTGCTGGAGCCCTGTGGGTCAAGGCTGTGTGGCTGGGGGCAAAGGGGGGAGGGCACAGACGTCTCAGCATGCAGCATGCACTTCAGAGCACCTGCAGCATAGCCGGGCAGAGCGAGGCAGGAGCCATGCAGAGGCCAACACAAAAATCAAGCCAACAAGGAAACGAGAAACAAAACGAAAACCAGTTATTCTCTATCTCCCCTGGCAAGCGGACATACTACAGACACCAGAACGAGAGCTGCCCCCTCCCCATTTCTGGAATGTCTTCTCTGCCAGTAGACCGCCCTCCCATCCAGAAGACAAACAGCAGAAAGGCCCAATTTAAAGGCAGCTGTTTGACGGGGATCAAAGCAAAAGTCAAAGCCAAAAGGGATGTGTTGCTGTGTCTAAAATTCTAGGCCACGGAGTGAAACAATTTCCCGGAGGATCTGGGAAAATGCTGGACAAAGGACACAAGTTCTTCTCACATTCTGACAGTGAGAGAAACCAGGGAGCTCCTCTAGGGGGTCAGGTAGCCTGGCTTTCTCCACATTTCTCCTAACATTCACCTGCCTCCCCGCCCCAATCTCAGGAGGTGTATCCGAAGCCCAGGCTCCGCATCCTCCTGAGTCAGAAGGCAATGCAACCCTGCCCTCTGTGGTCTGATTTGAAATTATCTGCAAGAGGGGCAGAGAGTACAGTGGGCACGGAGGGCGTTTGCTTTGCACACGGCCAACCATAGTTTGATCCCCAAAATCACAAAGGGTAACCACCTAAGCACTGCTGAGGGTGATTCCTGAGCACAGAGCCAGGAGTGAGCCCTGAGCACCACCAGGTGTGGCCCCTAACCCAAAAACAATAAGGGAAAAAGAGTATCTACAGAAATATCTCTGAAGTGGTCATTCGAGTTAGGAAGGTCCCAGAATCTTTGGCCATCCGAAATATTTTCATTCTGTACAAACAATAAGCACTCAAGAGTAACTCCTCCCAAATTACTCTGCTGATCCAATCAGAGCCTGCATGTGACTCAGAGGCATCTTTGCTGCTTGCAGAATTCACAGACTAGGAACACAAAGGGCAGGGACGTTCTTACCTTCCCCTCGGAAACCCATACCAACTGGTTCTGCTGCTGCTGAATTGCTTCTTTCAGTGCACCGTACCAACCATCGTTCATGGAATTCAAGTTAATGGTAGCTGCAAATGAATTCACAAAATCGTCTTATGGCTTGAACACTCTTAAAGCCTGAATTTGTCGTCCCCTGCTAGAGCTCATCGAGTCAGAATAATACCTGAGCCCTCAACCTGTCAATCTCTGAGCTGCACTGTACTTAGCCTGACAGTGAGAGAAACACCTCCCGAGATTGGGGTGGGGAGGCAGGTGAATGTCAGGAGAAATGTGGAAAAAGCCAGACTACCTGAGCCACTAGAGGAGCTGCCTGGTTTCTCTGTCAGGCTAAGTACAGTGGTGTAAGATTAGATTGCCTAAACACTTCAGCAAATGAGAAGATACTCACTTGTAAAAAGATGGTGGTTGTTCTTGCGAAGTTTATGAGACCGCTCATATAACTTCCTGGCACTTTTCCGAGATTCTGGACACAGCCTCATTCTCATCGTTTTGACGCCTTGCTTAGAGTCAGGGTTAAGGAAGACTACAATTGGGTACCACTGGGCATAATTCAGACGGTCCACTGCATTTGGGGTGACATCTAGTAAAGCATGTTTGTCCTGCAGGCACAAAGGAAAAATGAGGGGAAAAAACAGTTAACGAAAAGCCATGGTCCACTGTATGCTATGGGCAGAAACCTCACTTTTCTTCCCCTTCCCCTCCCATCTGGGGATGTGATGAGGTCTCCTACTTGGCCATGGTACTTGCACACTTGGTTGGATGTAAGCTAGGGAGCTACACACTTGGTACTGGAGATCTGTGTTGTCAAGATGCATATGGTGTGATGCCAGGAATAAAATCTGTGGCCTCATACCTGCGAGGCAGATGCTTGACCACTGAGCCACACCCCAGGCCCAGTACAACTCTCAACAGTGTGGTGGGAGGCTCAAGGGTGATGTTTGCACCACCACAATGGCACTCAGGTCACTCCTGGCCACTGTTCAGGAGGATCACATGGTGCTGGGGACTGAACCAAGGTCAGTGTGTACAAGGGAAGCATCTTAACCCCTGCACAATCTCTCCAGCCAGACACTGATTCCTATTCCCCCGCCACTTTTAACTGTGTCCCAAAGTATTTCAAAAGCACACTAAAAAAAATTTCATAATCAGAAGTTAATTCAAGTGACTTCTAGCCTAATTAAAACAAACTTTTTATTTATTTTTGGGCCATACCTGGCAATGCTCAGGGGTTACTCTTGGCCATGCATTCAAAGATCACTCCTGATGGGCCTGGGAACCATATGAGGTGCCAGGGATAGAACTGAGTCAGCCACATGCAAGGCAAGCGCCCTCCTCGCTGCTCCAGTCCACAAAACTCTGGAACCAGTTCATTCTGAAGCGAGCCTCAACGCTTCAATGCAGCGTATGGCCACAGAGACACCAAGCAAACGAAACCTCGGAGAGGGGTACTACCACTGCCGATATGCTCCAAGAAGCTCAGCCTAAAAGAGACTCTCACATGGTGTGCTTCTCTGTGACAACAAATGACCACCTCCTGGCACATGTGATGCTATTCCATTGGAAGTGATTTTTATTTTTTTAAAGGAGGTTCTCAAGAATGCCAGTAGAATTCATTCTTGAAAATGATTTTAAGGCCTCTAAGGGCTGAATTTTTTTAGCATCTCCCATGAGTTTAGCAAAATTATCCTCAACTTCCTAATCAACTCACCTGCCCCATCCACCCTGCATGTGGACCACCATCAGAACTTACCATTGAACAGATCAATTCAGAATAACTTACTTGGTCTATGATCTGCTTTATGGTATGCAGGCGGATGATGCCAGAGCTGCGTTGGTCAGTCCCAGCGTCTCGTGGTTCACTTTCTGCTCATGGAATACAAACAAAAATAAAAGATCACATTCCCTCTGATTAGACTGGAGTTTCCCAGCCACTGGCACTGTGATTGGAGCTGTGGCACTGCACTGCCCAGGCCCCCAGCAGCCACCTCCCACCTCCCCGGTGCCTTCATGACAAGTAGAAATGTCCTGTGCAGCTTCCTCAGAGAGGCAGAATCTACCTGGCCCAGAACCTTTGGGTTCACACGATGCTTCCCAACGAGACTCGCTTCAACTACAGAACATGAAGGCCTCTCACACCTCAACAATCATGTCAAGCTTTGAAGCACTGTGCACTGCTAACAGCACATGGGGATGTAAAAGAGAATCAGGGGGTAGGACAGCAGTAAAATGACGATCGCCACTTGGCCAAGAGAAACTGTCAAAATGGCAACTCTCTCAATTGAAAATGCACCCAAGTCTTTGCAAGAAGGCACAGCCCTGCTCGGGACTCTGGTCACAAGAGCTAGAAAGGAAAGAGGGCACCCTGGGACCAGGAGAGACAAGGCAGAGAAGTGTGGCATGGGCTCGAACTCAGGAGAGCACAATTGGGGGCTGTGGGGGACACTGGACAAGCCTCCATATGCCCCTCCCTCAGTGCAGACTGGATTCCAAGAGCATGAGCAAGTGACAGTGACGCCAACCAACCCCAGCAACTCCTCCTGAGGATTGCTGGGTGACAGTCGGCTCTTCTGAAAGTCAAGTGTGTTATGGAGGAGGGGGCCCGAGACTGAGCCCCCAGCCCAGCATGGACGGGTTCAGCCCTGGTGGCTGAGGGCTATCCACTGCTGACCTACAGTGGATTGGATTTTGCTGGATCCGACCAAGCTTAGCTACCAAAAGTGGCCCCTACATAAAATAGAACTACCCCCCCCAAAAAAAAACCCTACGTTTGGCTATGAAGGCTATGAATGGGAGCAACACAAACATTTCCAGGCAACTCTGTGAACAGTGGCCACAACAATTCCTTCTGAGAAAGCTAGTGGGGGGATGACACTGCCTGCCTCGCCTAAGCTGCACAGTGAACTGTACAATCTTGTGTGCATGCAAAGCTTCTAAGCACTGGAGACACAAACTCACTCAATTCTCCCAGCAACCCAATAACATTTCAGGAACCCGCTGTGCTCAGGTGCTTGGTCCCGCCTTGGCTCCAGGAGCATCACTGGGTGTTCCTGGGGGCCCAGGAGCGTGAGCTCCAGAAAAGGCACAGCTGCAGTGAGAGCCAGAGTTATCTCCAGGTCAGAGAGCTCCACTCCAGGAGGTTATCATGAGGAGCAAGGCAGAGGACACAGCAGCAGACCAGATTCAGGCCCAGGGCTCCAGACTGGCCCTTCTCACCCTCACCAAAGCAAAACAGCAGAACAAGAGCACCACCTCGCTGTACCTCATAATGAGATCGGGGAGAACGTTCACTCATGACGTAAGCCAGCAGGCCACACATGTCCATCCTTTACAGCTGAGGGTCCCTGTCTCACGTGCTAACCACCCCTTCTCAGGAATAACATCGTTCTACATAGCCCCAACCCTTGCACCTGTGCCTCTGCTCTGCTCCTGCCAGCACCCTCCGGGGGAGCCATTCCCTGCCTTGGGAAAAAGGACCTGAAACACCCTTGTGTCAGCCTAAGTGTGAGTTGAGGTTGCTTACTTGCAATCTGGTAAATGTCTGGTTCTTCTCTTGCCAGCTTTTCTCTGGCGACATCTGCTATCGGTCCAAAGATTGTTACAGGCCTCAAAAATCCAGCTGGGGAGAAATACAAATAGAAAGGAGCAATATTTACACCTTCTACTGGTTCAACAAACTGATGCTAATACAGAGAGTATAATGTGCTCTGAGGGCAGGCGAATGGTGCAGGGGTTTGGGTGCTTGTGGTCAATTGCCAGGGGCCATGGCGCCAGCCCCCAGATAACTACACACATACACTGCCTACCTTCCCGAAGGACGACTCTCTCATACGCGGGGAACTTGGTCTGCACTGGCTGGGCCGACAAGTCCTCTCTGCTCTTCCGGAGGTTCCTCTTGGAGCTGCGGAGCCCCCGGAATCGCCAGAAGTCGGCACGGTCACCTCCAGCTGTTTTGGGAAGTGTGTATTGCACACTGGCCAGCTGCTCGGCTCTGGAAAGAAATAGCTCGAGGTAACAGATGGTGGAAATATGAGAGACATACCCCCTGCCACCCAGTGTGGGTTCAATAGTCAGGGTTCACATAAAGGACCTGCAGAATGAAGGTGCAACGGTCAGCACAGCAGAGACCAATTTCCAGGGGCCCCAACTCACAGGGGGGCGGGAACTCCTCTCTCATCAGCCCTCAGTGGGAAGTACCCCCAACATTCCTACCTGTTCTTGTTAGGGATGATGCCTCGCTCCACCTCCTTATGGTTTTTACCAATCCGAATAGCAAGCCAAGAGCCCAGTTTCCCATTGTACAAAGTATCCACGACACGAAACACCTCTCCTTTGTTAAAACTAAGTCCATAGGGAGATTCCTTTTCATATTCAAAATGGGTTCGAATATAGAAAGAATCCCCAACATCTGATTCAACGATGCGACGATAAACTAAAATAAAGAATAGAGGTAGGAAATTAATCTCAGAAGAACATACCATATGCCAGATACGAGATCAACAGTACAGAAACAACAGCACCAACTCCTGCTCATGTGCCATAATGTATGGACAGTGCTGTTTTCTGAGCATGGGGGCTCTGAGCAGATCCACAAAATCCACACTATGCTTTTTGTTTCAATCATTGGATGTGGCCAATACCCGGAGGTCTGACTGCCAACAAAGACAGGCAGGATGCCAACACACCCCACTAGCACATACTGATCCCTCAGCAGAAGTGATGAGTCCTTGACTACCAATAGGGCTTGGGGAAGAGACTGTTCTACAGGAAGCCAGCATACACCCTGTCAGAGAGAACGAATTCTCTCAGGTTTGGGTGAGCACAGAGCCGGGAGGACTATCAGAACAAAACCCATATACAGCTGGGAGGGCGAGTGTATCCCTCTTGCCTCTGCCCACTGCATGAAGGTATTGAGAATGGCATCAGTTGGCCCTGTTACTGTGCAGGGCTAATGATCACAGCGGAAAACTGTTCACCTGAATGATGGCAAAATAAACTCTCTCTCGGACGAGTACACTCAGCTGTCACTCAACTTTGAATCATTTTTAAAACATAAAACTGGAAATTCCTAAAGACGCCCCGGTGTCTCGATTAAAAGATGGTGCCCCTCACCGTCCTTCTTCTTCTGGGCCAGGATGGTCACTTCTTCTCCTTTTGGGAGGTCCAGCAGGAAAAGAACAGCTTCCTCCCGGATGATGTTCGTGAAGTCCACGTTGTTTACCTGCCAAATCATTTTACAACATACTCTTAAAACACAGTCTACAATGATCAAAATGTCTCAGAACTTACTTAGTTTGAAGTTTTCCAACAATGGGGACTTTTATATTTCACTCTGGAGACCAACATATACTTGAACACAAAATAAGTAGAACCAAATCAAAGAAGTGAACTAAGGTGGTAAGTCTATTTAGAATCACAAAATAAGTAGAACCAAGTCAAAGAAGTGAGCTAGGGTAGGAAATCTATTCAGAGTTCATAGATCCTGATGCTTGAGATCAGCCTCTGAAAAATCTAGCCAGTTTCAATCAGATGACAAAAACCGAACTCCATATATTCTTTCTATAAAATCTCTTTCTTTAAAACTTGGAATCAGGGGTCAAAGTGATAGCACAATGGGGAAGGCATTTGCCTTGCACACTCCATCCCCAGCATTCCATATGGTCCCTGAGCACTGCCAGATGTGATTTGAAACAATTTTTAATTTAAAAAATAAAACTCAAAATCACCCACTTTTGTGAGTGTACAACAGTCAAACTGGTGACTAGTCTCTGAAGCTAAAACCCAAAGAAATGAGGGGTCTGGAGCAAGAGACACTTGACAGGGTAATGGTTACCATGGCAATAATTCACCCCTAGCTGAAGTCCCAAGGTGAAACTTCCCAAAGTGTCACCAGTGAGTGTGAAGGTCACAGACAAGATGTTCCTCTTTTTACCTTTTGGAATTTTATTTCCATTAAAGAGGTCACAATGTACTATTTTTATGATACAAAGCCAAAATGAAAGTTCTTTTGAACCCAGATTATATGGATACAAAATACTTGCTGTATCACTGGTCCAATACAAACAATTAAGGAATATTTTTTAAATGATGCATGCCTGAAGTGCTTCCAGTAAGAAATGAGGGGTGTGGGAGCATGACTTGAATACTTTAGCATGGTACATGTGCTTGAGAACACAGTGAACAAAATCACCCTGATGAAGCCCCAGGACAAGGTCGAATAGGGACCAAAGTGTGGACCTGCTAAGCCTGGTGGGAAGAGCAGAAATAGCCAGGGCAGCTGGCACAGACTGAGGGGATCTGTAGAGTTTGGAGGGTCAAGACTGATTACAAAGCTGCCATGAGCATTTAAGTCACAGGGAGCACTGCTACTGCTTCCTGAGTGCCTGAGTCCTCAGGAGCAGTCAGGAGAGAACAGAAGGGCTGAGCAGTGGAGCTGTCCACATTGTGCTGCTACAGCACCATGGAGTGGCCTGAGGAGGAAGACTTAGCTAGTCAGATCCCTGCAGAGCAACAGGGCAGATGAGGCAGACATTGACTCTGGAGGTTCCAATGAAGAAGCTGAGAAGGGGACACAAGCGACCAGCTTGACAGCAGCAGGGAGGGAGAAGGGGGCATAGAGGAATTTCGGCTGACAGGAGAGTCCACGAAAAGGAACCAAAACGAACACCAGCAAACAGGCAAGCATGGAGACTGAACAGAAAGCACCCGGAGCCATGTCCATGGCAGAAAGAGGGGGGACCAAGACACCATTGGCTTTCTCTTCTGTCTCAACTAGGGCCAAGTAGACCCGTAGACAGGTTTGGTACTTTCAGAAGGAAAGAGCCGCATGGAGCCGTGGGACCAAGCAGCTATGCAGAGAGCGGACCCAATGGGGAGGATACAATGGGGAGGATGGGGGAAATGGGGGGATGTATTCCTGCCTCACAACTGTCCCTCTCCCACAGAGAGTGGCCCCAGCTGGGACAGTGCACACTGCATAATCTCCCAGAGGAAAATGAGCAGCCCCAGGTAGCTACGCCCATGGCAGTCAGGCCAGTCTCAACGTTTGGCTCAGCTAAGTATCTGGCAGGTTCCAGAACACCTGTAAGGAGAAGGGAGCAAGGCTTCACACCATAGAGAAGACAGCAGATGGGGAGCAGGGCAAAGGCAGGAACAGACAGCGGCAAATCCGAAACAAACATGTCCCACAGGAGTCTGGGAGAGAGTCTGTGTCCAATTCTAATTGGAGGGTGCTGTGTCCAAGGTTCCAGAGACCTAAGAACCTCACAACTACCCATGCTGATGGGCTCACGTACCCTGAGAATCTGGTCACCCTCTTCTAGACCCTCTTTGGCCGCAGGGCTGTCTTCCAGAACGCCAGCCACAAATATTCCAACATCATTTCCACCAGCCAGCCGCAAACCCACACTGTCTCCTTTTCTGAATTTTACCAATTTCATGCTGGGCCTGTGAAAACAAATAATTTCGTTTGAAACAGGAGACATTTGGAAAGTGATAGCGAACTGCTATAACAAAAACCATACTCAGAAATAAAGATTCCTCATCCAGAAACTCCCCCTTCCCCCTATGCCACTAATTTAGTGAGTAAATAGGTATTAGAATCCCAGATCAGACTAAACAGTCCTTGATTTTCTTGTTAATAAAAATAAATAGGTAGCATGAAGGAACCGGCAGAGGAACCCAGGTTTGCGGGACCCGGGGCTGAGATCTCCAAGCCTGCTCTGATCAGGACTGGGTCTCCTCCACCCAGATTCCCCATCTTCCAGTAGCTAGGCGTTACAGCCACCAACTGCCCCCGGCACCGTGTTATCCCATCAACAGCCAAGACCCATGGACTATAAAACCCAGCTCCCGGAATAGAACAGCGCAGAGTCTCCTGCCCCCACGCCTGTCTGTCCTCACCAGGGCCTCTTGGAGGGGGGGTGGGTTGAGTTTCCCTCTCCGCTCCGAGCAGAGCCCCAGCAGCTGAAGACTTCCGGAACCAGCCACAGTCATGCTTAAGACCACTCTCCACATGTTCAGACGAGCCTCACATGAAGGAACTGGCAGAGGAACCCAGGTGTGTGGGACCTGGGGCTGAGATCTCCAAGCCTGCTCAGATCGGGGCTGGGCCTCCTCCACCAGATTCCCCACCTTCCAGTAGCTAGGCATTATACCCACCAACTGTCCCCGGTGCTGTGTTATTTCATCAACGGCCAAGACCCAGGGACTATAAAACCCAGCTCCTGGAAGCACGGGGTCGCATTTGGAGAACCCAACAGGCTACCGAGTGTATCCTGCCCGCATGGCAGAGTCTGGCAAGCTCCCATGGCGTATTCAATATGCCAAAACCCAGTAACAATGATGGGTCTCATTCCCCTGACCCTGAAGGAACCTCCAATGTGACACTTGCTGAAATCCCAGGGCTAGGACGAATGGAGACATTACTGTGCTTGCTTGAGGAAATCAATGAACAACAGGATGACAGTGATACAGTGATACAGGTAGCTTATAAAAAATAGTATTTTCCCAAATCTTCTTCTGGTGCATTACCAAAGGCTCATCAAATTTTCCATTTTCCCATCTCAATTCATACTAAATTGGCTTTTCTAAATAACTGAGTAGCTTTATAAAAATTGAAATCACAGCATAAACTGATCAATTTCCCTAATAACAGCATCAAAATCAGGCATAGTTCAGTGCTCCTACCTTCCAGCAGCAGATCCAGAGTCACTCAGCTCCCAGGTCTGGCTACCCTCTCCATTCTAAACAGAAATCTCATTCTCCAGTCTTTCTAAACTCACCCCATGTTCAACCTCTGCCTTTTTGTTTGTGGGGATCATACTGGGCATGCTCAGGGCTCACTCCTGACAGAGCTCAGGGAATTGTATGTGGTGCTGGGGATGGAACCAGAGTAGGCCATGAGCAATACACACACCTAAGCCCTGTATTCTCTCAAGCCCACTCAGTCCGCCTGAAACAAACACTGAACAAAAACTCTGGGAGCAAAGTTCTGCTGGAGCAGATCCGAGACATGAATAACCCTGGAGGTTCCTACGACTACCACACTCCTCCACACCACTGCGCCACACCCCCTGACCCAGTCCTGACCCAGTAAGGAACACGGAGGACTCCAGCAGGAGCCACCCAAGCAGGAGTTACAGCGAGAGGAGAGTTCCACAGAGGGAGCAGAGACTGGGGCGGGACTCCAAGGCAAGCAGCTGGCAGGTGCCCATCTGTAGAGGAGTGCCACCCCCTGCATCACAGTCCAGAGATGACACTCATGGTCTAGGCTAGAGGCATTCTTGGCCTGGCCCTCACCCAAGCCCACAGCCCCTTGGCAGAGCGTCCCCACCTTCCTGGCAAGAACTGGCGCCTTCTCCAGACTCCTCACACAGTACTCTCAAACACATCTCCAGGATATCCTTGAGGGGGCCCAAGACAGGCCTCCGCTCACCTGACCAGAGGGACTCAGATCAACTAATGGCTTGGAGGATAGCAGATGAAAAGTGAAATCTGGCCCTGTAACCAACCCCCACGATCTGCAGACAGCCTGATCTCAGGGAGTGTCATGAGCCTTAGGTGGTATTTTCAATTCTGCCCCATCTGCACAGCCTATGTCAGTGCAAGAGCATGGGCTACTCTCACACCCACTAGGGGGACCAAAACCCAGGACTTGTGAGCTCTGGTCCCGCGTCCTCAGTGAAAAACTGGTGTATCATGTTTGTGAGCAGTGTGTGTGTGTGTGTGTGTGTGTGTGTGTGTGTGTGTGTGTGTGTGTAAGTGAGTAGCTGGGGTGTGTGTAAACTGTGACTGCCACCTGGTCAGTCAGGTGTGTGTGTGTGTGTGTGTGTGTGTGAGAGAGAGAGAGAGAGAGAGAGAGAGAGAGAGAGAGATATCCTGACCAACAGTTTGAGTGGCCCAAAGACAGTACTGAGAAACACAAGTACAGGGTTTTTTAATGAAGACATTAGAAAGTTCGAAACAATTCTGATGTTGAAGTAGAAAACCATTCTGTTATTTTGTCACTCCTGACCTGAAACTATGTGGAAGACAATGGTAAGATGTGAACATCACGAAAGTTTCCCTTTTGTTCTCTAGTCTCTGATCCTATCATATAAATTAAATACAATCAGCCAACCTCCCAGACACTGAATACAGTAATAAACAGCACACGATTTGTTACATAAAGGATACAATGTTGTGCCCCCCTCCCCAAATCCTTTTTTTCCTTCTGAGTTTGGGCACATACTTCTGGCTCTGTGGTCAGAGATCACTCATGGTGGGGTAAAGGTAAAGGTAAAGGTAAAGGCCCTCCCGTTGATCGTCGATTTGCTCGAGCGGGCCCAGTAACGTCTCCATTGGAGACTTTGTTGTTACTGTGTCTGGCATATCGAATACTCTTGGTAGCTTGCCGGGCTCTCCGAGAGGGGCGGAGGAATCGAACTCGGGTCGGCCATGTTGGCCGCTTGTAAGGCGAACGCCCTACCCGCTGTGCTATCGCTCGGTGGGGTGGCAGACAAAATCCAAATCGGCTATGTGCAAGGCAAGTGCTGCATCTACTGTGCTTTCTTTCCACCCCAAAAGTCTTACTTGAAGCGATGCTTACCGCAGAATCCCATCCTCGTGCGCTGAATCAGGCAGGACCCCATCAGAAGGGCTAACAGGCAAGTCCACATCAGGCTGCCCAACTTGAGCATACACAGGCTTTGGTTCTAAGGGGAGGAAAACATAAGTTGTGCAAATAAAGTTCTTTTAACTTTATTTAAAAGAGGGGGAGGACAGAAAAACAAGCAATCGGTAAAATAACCAAACAATAAAACATTTGTAAGATATGAACGATTCATCATCAGCGACATTTATAGAGCCCACACGTCTCTGAAGAGTTCAGCCATCCATCCATGAGTCATGCTAACAAGCGCTCCTGCTACATGGTGGCTGAGTCTCTCCCCAGCATCAACTCCAGGATCTGAAATATCTATTCTCTAGCCAAGAGCAACAGAGAAAGGCTGCAGGGACGAATGCATTCCTCGGTTCAGATCCAGACCTCCTTCCCTGGGGCCACTCTGATGGGGATGTCCATATTGCCACTTAGCAAGCAGAGCAGAGAAGATTGGACAGAAGTAAAGGGGGTGCAGAGCAAACACAATCTCCAGACTCTCCAAGCAACCAAAGCTCTTAATAGAGTGTCAAGTCTGGTTCCAGGGGTCACTCGACATGTACAGGCATATACGTAAAAATATTCCAAGAGGCAAAATAACTGATATAAGGAAAGCACTGAAGCCAATCTGCTGTGCAGTGAGTAGGGCTGACAACACCTGGTTGAGGAAGTGCAGTTAGTCAGAAACCATGTTTAACCAGGAACTTCTAAGACCCACCAGGAGCCTACTGGTCTTGCCAAGGGCCCCAGAGGAAAGCTAGGTGCTGGCCATAGGCAGCGAGCATGCGGTGGTGCTGCTGTATCCATGATGGTCACTTGGGTCCTCCCAGAGTGCGCTGGCCATACCTGGAAGAGTGGGCGCTGGTTTCTCACTTCTTTCAACTCTGACTTCTTCTACTGCTTTAGGGGCCTGATCATCTGCATGCTTTACAGGTGTGGAGATGGCACCAGGTTTAGAAATCCTCTCGTCCTCTCTGCTCCGGTGACTACACATTAAAAAATAAAATTATCAGAAAAAAGAATTGCGAAATCTGCTAGAATAGCCAAGTCAACTTACGTTAACAGAAGAACTTTCTCCAAGTTCAAAATATTCTATGAAATTCATAGTTAAAAGCAGAGTGGAGGGGAAAGAGAGGCAGTACAGAGGTTAGGGCATTTGTCCTGCATGCTGCCAACCCGTGTCCAATCCTTGGCACCACAAAAGGTCCCCCAAGACCTGCCAGGAGTAACCTTGATAGCAGGGCCAGAAATAAGGGCTGAGCACGGCCAAGTGTGGCCCCAAAACGCACTGCACTGCACTGTCCTCCCGTTGTTCATCGATTTGCTCGAGCGGGTACCAGTAACGTCTCACAACAAATTGTGAGACCTACTGTTACTGTTTTTGGCATATCGAATATGTCACAGGTAGCTTGCCAGGCTTTGCCGTCCAGGCGAGATACTCTCGGTAGCTTTCCAGGCTCTCTGAGAGGGGCGGAGGAATCGAACTTGGGTCGGCCATGTTGGCTGCGTGCAAGGCACATGCCTTACCCGCTGTGCTATTGCTCTAGCCCCCCAAAACGCAAATAAATAAATAAATAAAAGTTGAGTGGTAATTTCCACAGGAAATGACAAACAGGTCAAGGTATCAGAACAGAAGATGGGCAAGGACATATCTACTGTAGCAGAGCTGCACTACTGGGGACACAGAGGTTTTAAAAAAGTGTGGGCCAGAGAGAGAAGAATAGCAGTGTAAGTACTTGCCATGCACATAGCAGACCCAGGTTCAATTTCTGCATCACATGTGATCTCCTGAGCCCCACCAGGAGTGATCTCTGAGCACAAAGCCAAGAGCACTTCCCTGGGTCTGGGCACTGTTGGTTGTGACCCAAAAAGGTCCCCATAATTTTTTTATAGCCTCAAAGATAGAGGCCTTTTAAAGTGAGACTCATACACAAAAGCCAAATTATATCAACAAAAGCAAATACATACAGAAGTTCAAAACATACAAATAACGCTGAGCACTAGCAATTTCATGGAATTTAAACTGACATCTATATAAACAATATTAATGATCAATGATAATGTAAGATTAATTTGATAACTACAAATGAGTTTAAAGGACACAGATTAAGAGAAAAAGAATGACCAGAAAGAAGTTATTCACCAAAAGATGTACAAAAAGTAACCCAGAAAACACATTCAACCTCAATAGTAATTAGCAAACTGCAAATTCAAAGATTAGAAAGCATCTTATCACCTAGACAAAAATTCTAGAACCTATTTGTAATATTATTTTTCTATTAGTATTTCCAATTGCAACGAAACAATAGAAATTAAATGCCCACCAAGCTTCCCCAGAAAACAAGAATGAACAGATAAAGAGGGCGAAGGAAGGAGCTTGGTGGCAATGAATATGCCCCATACCTGAGGCCTGATGAACCAAGGTTTTATAAAGCTACAGAGAGAGGTGCATAGATATGATTTTTATTATGTATTCACACTTAGTATACATATTTTTAAGGGGCAAAAACACATCTTAAAAAAATGCATTTAAATCTACCATCCCTAAAGGCAGTATAGAAGTTTTATACTGACTGAACCTAACCACTAAAAACCAAAATGATTTGTTCTTCAATCATTTGGATCATAGAAACTACTGCAAGCTCTCTATAGCAATTAAGAGATTCTTTTGCTATGGAAAATTCCAAGCATACATAGCAATACAAAGAATGGTGTCATAAAATGCCAGAAATATTATAATGTATTAAAATATTATTATACAATGACCCCAAAAGCAGAATTATTTCAAAAGAGCAAGGCTGGTTCAACATTAGGACTCACTCATTATAATAAATTCAAATATTAATTACATTCAAATGGTCAAACAAACACACACAAAATCATTCCCACAAAAAAACTACACATAATGCAAAGACACAGGCAATACAAGTAATTTATGAGACTAGTTAATAAACTAAGGGCAAACACCACATTAAACAGTGAAATGCTGAATGGACAGATGCTAAAATCAGTAACAACACAGATACCTGCCAACAGGACTGTTATTTGCTGTGATTTTGAAGACTCAGATAATACAATCACAATAATAAGGCCTGTAATGTTGGGGAAAGTTTTCAATAAGTGCAAAAAAATACAAAATTACTTAACATTTTAATTACTGTAAAAAAATTCCACAGGTTTTCCTCAATATCTACAACAATGAGATGGTAGTGAAAAGAAAAAAAAAATCCAGATGTTCGTTATAGATATTAAGTACCTGCATTTAAACAAAAAGTCATTTTTAGAAAAAAACTATAAAAGCCAAAATATTTTCTAGTTGAAACCAGAATAAACTACTTTTAAATCATGAAAGGTGTCAACCTTTTTAGCTACTCTTGTGTAATAAAATCTTACATATAATTAGTCTGTTTAAATAAAGTAAATAAAAAGTTAAGCTTTATTTCCAAATAAATGTTGGCACCTTAGACAGTACAAAAGGGCAGTACAAAACAGTAAACTGTCTCAGCATTCTTTGTATTAAAAGTACTAACGATAGATTGAAAATAAGAACACTTTAAAGAGAATGAAATTCAAGAACTGCCTCAGTTCTGTATTTCTGTAACAGTTCCTATTTCTGTTGCTTTGCAATATGCAGTCTTTAAACCAATTTACTTAAAATAAAGGAAAGGAGGCCAGGGAGAGGCCTGGAGTGTGAGAGCCCCAGGTTCTATCACCAGCAAAGCCTGTTCCCAGAACAGTGGGAGAAACAGTCCTTGAGAACTGGAACCCACACCCAATCCCAAACTAACGACGACAAAAAAACAGATGAAGATTCCCATTTTGTTTCTGGTAACTTAAGGAAAACTTCATCCATTTCAAGTGTGGCTGACAATAATATTAACTACCATTCCAATAACAGAATCAATGATAATATTCAAATGTCCTCACCAATGGTAATTAACAGACCATCATTTCTTGTACAGCAGGCTCTGTGTGTACCTCTTACGAAACCGCTAGCATTTTATTCTTTGGCTAATTTTCATACTACATTATTAATCACATTTCACCCCACATAATACATTTAAACTGTGACAAAACTCCAGATAGATGGAATGTATATCATTCACCAAATTTTTCACACTATTCTGTAAAATCAGCAGTTTTTAAAAACAGTGCATTTCCATTATCTACCAAAAGATGGAGGCATTAGGCAACAATAAGACATTCTCGGGCAATGCTGTACAAGGATTCTTAGGAAACAAGTCACTCTGGTCAAAATCAAAAGTGCCCAAAGCCTTTTCAAAAAGATGTAATCAACAAATATATTTTATTTCACCCAAGATGTCCAAAACGTCATAAAACCAGTGTGTCATCAATGTTTTTAGACACTGTCTCATGAGCCATCAAAATCCAATCATTTCCCACTTACACAGCTCCCCACCTGGTTCATGGGAAACATAATGATGAAGTGATGCCAATCTTGAGTCTGACCACAGAATGACGGACCTTTACAGGCAAGAGAACGCTCTCTTGTGAGTGTAAGCACTGAAATCCAATCACAAGAACACTGAGTTTAGAAATCTGAATCCGAGCAGTTGCTGTGACTCAGACATGCCACGGCTGTTAACAAGAAAAGCACATTGTCCTCGAAAGCCCTAATGGCTCTCAAAGAATACTGAAACTTCATTTCAACAAAATCAAGCTCTTGAGCCACTATGAGGAAAGGTGACTTTCCAGGACAACTACTGGCTGGTGCTCATCTGCCTGCCATGGCTTTCCCAAGAACCAGAACCTCACGAGCGTAGCAAGGGCATTTCTGTCTTTCATCTGAAGAGCAACTGAGACATTTTCTGTTTCTGGCTTTTCACTTGCGTCCAGCCATGCATAGTCACATTCCCCTGCTCTCTGGTATAGTGGCAACAACAAGGACAGTTCTTAGCCAAGGGTGAGGTCAGATAACTGCCAGAGAGCTCACTTTGCACAGAGCCAACCTTCTTAGGTCTGCTCCCATCAATGGCAACAGCCGAGGGGCGGATAACCAGTTTATACACTCAGTGATACCAGCATTCGAAGGAAGAGACTACATGTATTTGGTGAATACTTTCAGGTGTAGGCCTGGGGAATGATGGCATGCTAGCTAGAACAAGACATGTACTGCAGGTGTGAGGCCAAGTTCGGCTTTAAGTGCCAATCCCCGGGCAGGCAGCTGCATGGGCAGCACCCAGCATGCATCACACTCAAGTGTGTGCAACCCCAGGCCACTGCAGCCAGGGAAGTGAGACCTACATAGCTTAGGTGGAAGGAAACTAACAGGCACTGATCACACCTAGTGACTTAAAAACCAGCTTCCCCAAACAAAGAAGAGGCATTTCAGAGATCTTTCCTCACAGGCAAGGAAAGAAACGGAGGTACACTCAAGGCTGACTCATCAGAATCCTGCAATAGCTGCTAATCCTCTAAACTCCGTATGAAACATCCTGAGATTTACACAGCGCTGCTTCCTTGATAGCAATTAAAATAATTAATGATCTCTCCCTGAATGGCACACAAAGAATTCTAAGAATGAAAAAGGCGGGCAGATTCCATGGCAGGCCTAAGCTGCTCAGCTGCACGAAGAAAAGGCAGAAGAGTAATTACCTTACACCTACTCTGCCGTATCTGCAATCTGTCTGCTCTGAACAGAGAGAACTCTATTCCCAGCCGTGAGTGTACATGCTTCGCAAAAACTTGAGGCTCATGCTGACAAGTGGCTTTGTGGCAATGAACTGGCTAAGGCACTCAAAGATGCTTATTAGTATCATCATCTGTACTGAGCACCCCAATTCAGATGCTCATGAACCTCGTCTGAGGCACTCAAAGATGCTTATTAGTATCATCATCTGTACCAAGCACCCCAATTCGGATGCTCATGAACCTCGTCTGTCTGAACTAGAAGGAAAATAAATCTGTCATTTAAACATTTTGATTGTTTAGTATCTGTTGTTCAGTCAACAATTCACCTTTAAAA